GAATCATGAAAGTTTAAAAAAATTGGTTTCAAAAATTAAATTAAGATTTTGGATTAAAACTATAATAAAAGAAAGTATCATAGATTTAAGTGAAGACCTCAAATTTCAATATCAGCTGATTTCAACATAACTTGCCACATTTATCATGTTATAATAGTTTAAAAAACTCACCATAAATCAGCAGCAAATTGAATATTTTCTCGTACGGTTAATACACCTGAGATAATTAATTAATAGAGATATAAAAAAGATATAAAAGTTAAAATTACTTCAAAGTTAAAAACTTTTATATTTACTATAAAGTTAAATACCCATTAGCGCATCATCTTGCATAACATATTGTGAAACGTATTTGATATCACCCGGTGCTCCATTAAGCAGAATTTGGCCAGATACCATCTTAGGATCTTTTCGTCCTGCCAAAACATCCAGTAAGGTTGACTTACCTGCACCAGATGGTCCCATTACTATTAAAAAGAAACACATTATCAAATTGTTTATGTTATGTACGAAGAATGAACTAAAACCTTTAACGAATCACTTACTAGCCATGATTTCACCGGGTTGAACAATACCAGTACATCCAGTAAGTATGTTTTGCTTTTTCTTTGTTTTTGGATTGATTATTTTATAGGCTACATTTTTCCATGCAAGACTAATCCCATCAGGAAGATCATATTTAGGTTCTACAATGAAAGAGATAAATTATTTAAAATCAAAAAAATGCAATTATCCTTTTATAAATTAAAGTATTATACCATTAATTGACAATTTAATATCAGGGATTTCAGAGACGTATGATGCATCGCTTCTAGCCATCGAAGTCATGCTAGTTCGAGTTGAAGTGGTGTAAGCGGTGTGAGCATAGGTGGAATACCTGGTGGGAAACCTGATTTCTGGTACCGAATCATTATTGTAACTATTCTCCATCATCTGAACCATCTGAGCGGGCAACATTTTGGAGAAATTGGATTATGATAAAAATAAAAATCTAATATTGGTGTCAAACTTTAGGGCTGAATTTTTTTTCTATATTTATTTCTTAATTTTTATTTCCAAATTTGCTTCATGAAAGGTACGTAAAAATTCAAGTTGTTTAGTTTTTACAGCACCGCATAACAAAATATTTGAGATCACAGTATCGAGTAAAGTTATATATTTTTTTCCTTGTAAATATTTACTAATACGTCTTAAGAATTCAGCCATACATAAAAAAAATTCACATGTGATTGTCCAAAGTTAACAGAAACAAACATTCAAAAGGTATGCCCAAAAAAAGATATCAAATAAAAAGATTGCTAAAGAATATCATTTCAAAGCTGAAAAGTGGTTATTAATATTTATTATGTATTATTATTTTGCGGATTCAAATAACCGGTTTTGCAATAACTTGTTTTGTATGCCTAGACAAAAAATACTATACTTACCGGATTTTCAGATCTACTCCATTATTTCATATTCGAGGCGATCATAAATGAGCGGTAATAATTTCACTATTATCACGTGTATTACAAATTTAGAGTTAGAACTATCAGGGGTATTATACTGAAAGATCTACGTGTCAATAAAAATCACATGCGAACTTGCTAATGCCTTTTATTGTTGGGATATACAAAACGTCCGATCTTCCCGTTGCACCAATCGATATCGTCATAAATAAATGCTAAAACTTATAAATTCTAATTTTATGTTTACTGTGAGCATCGATAAATTTTATGTATATATTACTATATTTGTAGATTAAATAACTTTATATAGTTTAAACCATATTAGCTTAAATAATGCGAGCTAAAATTTATGTACACAATTGCCATAAGCATGCCCCGGAATTTGAAATCGACTATGGATGAAAATCTAACATTTAAACTATCTACTACAGCCGTCCTAAAATGGGGATTATCTAAAGCCAGATTGCAATTTATCAACTTATAAATTACCTGGCTTTAGAAGATCCCCCAAAATTGAAAATGTTTGACCTGAATATTAGAATTCCGAGCCTTTCTGAGGCAATCACAGAGTTTGTGTATTGCTTTGAGTTATTAAATTGCTTCTCATTTAGGGATGTGATGCTGTGTTCGGAATAGTGATGTGCTCATGCGCATGGGAATATTTCGGAATTTTCGGAATATTTCGTAATCTCAATTCTGGCCCGCATTAGCACCAAGCTACCATAATGCAGGCCAGAATTCCATGCGTATGATGCGCATGATGCGCATCATGCGCATGAAATGTGAAAAAAGGCGGAATAGATCAAGATTATAAACACATGTTTTAAAACGGTGAAAAATGTTTATTTACCATCCCTATTCTTATTCCATGAGTACTGTGTAACAACCCGTGCTTATTTAACAAGGTTCATCTTGGCTAATTTTGTCTGTACCGCAAAATTTAAAGGGTACCGACCGATTGGTTCCGTGCACGAGTGCCAGGTTTGTGGCGCAGGTTTACAATTAACGAAAAATTTTAAAATTCATTGTAGTTGGGGTTAGCGTTTTAACTAAAATTAGAGGTTAGGTAATTGTATAGTAAAATCGCTCAAGAAAAACTTTTGTTAGAGCACTAAAGGTGGTTTTTATGCAGATTTTTGAGAAATAAGCGAAACGAACGTTTGTTTTGGAATTTGCCGATCGTATTACGTTGCATCATGATCGACAAAACCTGGCACAGAATTCATGCGCGCAATTTGGGTTGATAACTTTCGGTTGAAGCTCCGAACCCGACCCGAAATTTTACGGCTAATATATTAAGCTTGAACATTTGTTAACAAAAATGAATTCAATTGCCCTTTTTTCTCTTTAACTACATCTATCTATACTATCTAATTCAGAGTTTTACATTTTAGCAGTTCTGATTGGTTACTAGCAAATAACATCAACTACATGGCAAAACATGCTAAAAATTCGGTTGAACCTGTAATGCAGATCACATTACATACTTCGATCATCATTTGCATTGTTGTCTCTCAAACCAGATTCGACCCGGGTTGATACTAAATACGTCTGCTATTT